CCCCAAAACCCCAAAACCCCAAAACCCCAAAACCCCGAATAAAACATTTTTAATTGAATTTATGAATTAGTCATGCTTATCTCATGTTGAATCGGTTGATCTCTCCATCTAGAGCATCCCTCTTTACCCTTGGCGCCTTATTGTCATAGTTTGTTGTAGAAATTTCAAATTTTGCTTGAGGAATAGTCGATCCTGTCATTATTGTGTTCATGTTACTTCCCATGCCTACTGAAGAGTTCATCTTAGGCATTCTAGCTCCAAAATCTGTCTGGGTCTGCGAAGTTGGACCGTATCTGTAACCTCCAGACATACCATCATCATTAAACTTACTCCCCTCTCTTACGGTCTCAGCAGCTTTTCTGTAAATAGGAGGTCTATTTATGGAATCTGCTAGTGGTTTCTCTCTTTGAGTCTGCCTAGGCCTTCTTCCTCCAGCGAGGCTGCTCGAGCTTATAGAAGGTGGCTGATAAGTTCCCAGCCCTGATGTACCTGCTATCGGAGGAAGAACATTATTTCCCTTAGGAGCAATATCTGGCAGAGAGAATTTTGAAATTCCTGATCCTGCTATTTGAGATCTTCTGACACCTCTATCAGGTATTTTCTTCTCAGTTAGACTATTTTGTTCGAATTGGGAGGACCTTCTGACTGGAATGAGAGGCCTTGAGGATTGTGCATAGTCCATGCCAGATCCTTTCTTCTGCAAAAGTCTTCTGGATCCCTTAAGTTCAGACTTGAATCCATCTGAACTTCTGAAGCCGTCTGAACTTTTAAATTGATCTGAATTGCTATCGAAGGTATTTTGATGGCTCAGTGTTGGCGGATTTGCTGGGGAGTAGACACTTCCTCTAGAAGAATTCCTCCCTGAGGTAATCCTAAACGGAGGTGTGTGAGATGTCATATCTGAGTTTGCAAATGTGTTTTTCCCTCCTGCGGTTATGACAGCATTCCCACTCTTCATCATTGTCTCCATCTCTATCTTTATTTTCAACAGTGGTGCTTTCTTAATGGGGTCGAGTTTGTTAATAGAAACGGTCAGCGTCTGGGAATCTATTGAGTGACAAGCTGCTAGGATTTGAGAGACTAAGCTCTTGATGTTAGGATCTGAGTCTGAATTTTCCACTAATTCAGCCAAACATGCTATCATTTTGTCATTAAAATCTTCTTCATAGCACAATACAATTGAGAATTGATTAACTAGTAATAAGAGAATTGAAAGAAATCTGGTTAAGAATGATTTCTTTTCAGAGAAAACCTCCTTCTTGTTTCCTGACCTCTGGATAGCTTGTGATATCTTCTCGATGTTTTTAACAATATCTCTAGCGACTACTAGAGGACCGATGTTGCTATGCTTGGCGAAGAAAATAATAACCTTATCTGAAGAAACTTGAATCCTTATATTGCTGCTAACTGTATTTGAAACAATAATTCCAATGAAAGATCCGATGAGGATATGAAGGTCTAATGCTCCAAGATGTGGAGCTAATGATGATATTATATACCTCACTATCTTCAACGCTTCCAGATACACTTCGCTGCTTTCGTCTGATAGGATCTGCCTCATCAAGTGAGTGATTGGGTCTGCCAGTTCTCTTGCCTTTTTGTCATTCAAGTTCACAGTCAGCTTGGAGACTGCTTTCTTGACTTCGACAAGTCCCTTCTGTCTCTTCTTCGGGTTCGCTGACTTCAGAAGTTCAACAGTAGCTTGACCTAGAATCCTGACGATGTACTCAGGCAGGTAGTCCGACTTGACCTGGCTGGCGATGTAGTTTGTGGCTGCTTTCTTTTGTTCTTCCCGCTGGCTGTCAGACCTGACAACATCTCCACACTGCTTCTTGGCTTCTTTGATCAGCTTGTCAACAACTGCTTGCTTTTGGCCAACAAGCAGTTTCTCAAGAGATGGGCCCAGTGTTTGGTAGAGTTCAATGAACAAGTTTTCGGCTTCTTTTCTGACACCTGGAGTGTGATGCTGAAGCGATCAGTTTATGATATTCAAAAATTTCTGGGTGTATTTATCATTGACTATTCGGGCAAGTTTGGCTTGCTTCTGATACTCGATTAGTAATAATAAACAAGAAGTCCACATTGTAGAGTTGACCAGACTCGAAGCTGCATCATCACTTTTGGAGTCTTTAGCAGACGACTTTGGCTTCTTCGACTTTGTAGCTGTATCTGTCATCCGTTCCAGCGCTTCAAGTGTGATGTCGGCCATCTTCTCAGGACCAACTGTCGACTGGTGAGCAAGGTATATGCACATGTTCTTGGATGCCACTCTGAGTTTGATCTTCAAATCACTGGTCTTCTTCAGCACTTCAACAATGATTGTATTGAGGTTGATAGGAGCGGAGTCTCCATCTTTCGAAGTTTCATCAAAGATGGTCTTGGGGCATCTTCTAAAGAACATTGGAAGTCCCTGTTGCATAATGTCCAGAATTGACAAATAAATTTTAAGCACAGGGTCTTTGATGCCTTCAAGGATCAATTGACAGAACCCAGCGAAGCATTCTTCGATCGGGAGTCCAAACTTGTTGATTTCACACTTCATCGCATCTTTGGTGTTGTCATCAAGGTTTGGAAGCTGCTCAGTTATCTTCTCAAGCGAAGCCTGTCTGACTGACCAAGATTGAGACACGAAACACCCAATGATGTCTTCGTTGAAAATGTTGATGAGGTTTCTGAACTTGAACTGGATGTCGTCTTTCATCGGTTCGTAGTACGGTAACACAATGATTGGACTGTTGTCTACTCCACCAGCACTGATCTCAGGCAGATTCGACCTTGGCACAGAAGTGCTTCGCTTCAATGCACTGAGGTCTCCAGACCTATCTTTCGACTTCGACCTTGAGAGGCGAGTGTTGTTCGACTTCATGGCGATGTCGACTCCGAGCTCTTCAGCATTGATGTACATTGACTTACAGACATTGTTGATCTTCTTGATCAGAGGATTTCTCAGAGAAGGTTTGAGACCGAGAATGTAGTTGATAATTTTCTGTTTGAAAGAGGCCCCATTAGGATCTTTGAGATTATACTTACAAATATCAACTATTAACCTCAGAGCGACTTGTCTGACTTTGGTGTTCTTATGAAGACACCACTGGATTGCAAACTCTGTTATGGTTGTGTAATTTGCTCCTAGCAACACCTGATGAGGTTTACTGCTTGCATCAACTTCGTTTTCTTCAGTTGTTGAAGATAGCAATTGAAGTCTTTGTGAGAATACATGAATCCTTCCAATTATCCCTTTTTCACCTTGCTTGGAATCCATCAATATGTTTGCAAGTTTGCTTGACACTGAAGTCTCAGAATCTTGAAGGAAAGAGCTGTACTTCTGATTAATATTGTTGAATGATCCGTTCCATAAATTTAGAATGACTTCAATTGACTTCTTCCTTACTCTTGTGTTAGTGTCGTTTGTTCGTAAAGATATTGGCTGAGCCAAAGAATCCATAGACTCTGTTAGGATAACATAGTTCTTTTGTAAGCATTGAGTGAAGAAGAGCCCAACAACATCAACGGCGACTAAATAAATCGAAATATTATTCTCCTCTAGGCAAGACGTCAGTAGTTCAACACTGGCAGCAGCAAAGGAGTCATTGGTTACTGCAGAATCATTGTTCTTGATCTCTTCCTTGATCTTGTTAAGTGCGATTTCACGTTGGGCCCAGTCTTTGCTTCTTCCTTTATCTTTAAGTTCATCTAGGTTGTGATTGTCCTCTCCATCATCATCATCGAAGGCAAGCTTGGCTTTCTCTGATTCGTCGACCTCAACTTCAGCAACTTTCTTGAGGATATGTTCAATATTGGCTTGAGACTCTGAAGGGATGCAGTCTTCCTTGAAGGTATTCGCATCTATGAGGCCTGACTTCTTCTGAATTTCTAGAAGAATCTTGAGCGCAGTGCTCCTAATGCCTTGGTCTTTGTGGAAGAGCGGCAACAGGACTATTTTTAAGATCTTTTTAGGAGCAAGCGGACTATCTTTCTTTGTCATACCGAATGAGGTTATGAATTTGTAAAGTAATTCTAGCATTATTTTGGTCCCTTTTATGTTATTATTTTCCTGATGAGATTCTAGACGAGAAAGAAGGAATGCAGAGATAAATCCCTCCCCTATCATTGGATGGAAAGAGAAGTCTATTAGCCCCTCTTGGGCTTTATTTGAAATTCTAGCATTTCCTTCTTCGCTCTTATTTGAGTAGTTTTAGCACTATTTCAAATTCGGTAACAAGTCTGACAAAGACATCCAGTCCTTTTTCTTCAAGCTTCGAGGAGGATACAAGGAAGGAGAAGATGGTCATGGCAGCATTAAAAACTTTCATGACTTTATCCTGGATACCAATGTTGCATGCAGTGCAGCATGCTTTGATAGTATCCATGAATTCCATGTCCGACTCTAGCTTCACAACACTGTTCTTATGGATGTGCTTGAGGGCTTCTTCACGAAGCTTCCAGGATGTTGAGATAAGTCCAAGAGCACACTTCATGCCAAACACTCTCTCGATGATAGTATCTGGTTCCTTGCCTTCTTCAGTATGGATGTCGGCTTCTTCATAATCCATCAATTTCTTGTTCTTGTCCTCTTTTTGTTCGTCGCCTTTGGCCTCAGCATAGATTTTGTTGACTTCTTCCTGATCCTGAACCCCGGTGATTGCTCTGTCATCCTCAGGAGTGTAGTAATGAGTAGCTACTTTTCCTACGTCTCCTTCAGAGGCTCCTGAGAGTCTCTGGATGGGTAAAGATTCTATGAGGTTGTCGTAATGCTCAAGGTACATCGGCATGAACTCTTCTATAAGTTCTCGAACAGTCTTCCCTTCTTTTGATTTAGCGTTGAAGTCTACCTGACTGTTCGTTATTAGGTATTGTGTGATTTCAGGTTGCTTCCCGATCACTGAGAAGTGGAGAGAATTGAATCCGTTATCTCCGAGAATGTCTGGATCCGCATTCCCATCTTTTACTAGGTAGGAGACTATCTCTTTGTATCCAAGCAGACTAGCAACGTGTAGCGGAGTCTTCGAGGCATCAAGGCCTTGAATAATTAATTTTTCATCTTCATTTTCATACTCGATGTCATCATCAAGATCTTTAGGATTTGAGCACTTTCCGTAGTGGTCAACCTTGGCTTTCCCAATGTCGATGAGAATTTTGAGAATCTCATCATTGCCATCTCTAGCTGCACAGTACAGAGGGGTATGACCAGAGTAATCACTGAGGTTGACTCTTGCTCCATTCTGAACGAGGAGTCTGCAAATAGCGACTCTGTTATTATCAATAGCTTCAAAGAGAGGTGTCCTCCCAGCATTGTCTGAAATATCGATGTCAACAGAATACTCTATCAGAGTTTCGATGATTTCTGGTTTGCCTTTTTCAACAGCATGGTGGGTTACTGTACCTCCAGAGTTATCTTGATGGAGAGAATTAGCTCCTTTTTCGAGAAGATATTTGACAACCTCCGGATAACCTCCTCTAGCTGCGTAGAGAAGGGCATTGCAGCCCTTGGGTGAGGCTTCATCAATCTTGGCCCCTCCTTTGTCAATGAGGAATTTTACGAAGTTTAGATCACCTTTAATGGTGACTCAATTCAGAGGAGTGAGCCCTCTGTTATCTTTTAGATCCATATCAAGCGGTTCTGGGGTGTTCCCAGCGATGCTTGATTCTATCAAAATTTGTGCTAACTTCTTGTGCCCGTGTATACAACAGATGAGAAGACAAGTCTGTCCATGCTCATCTTGAATATTGATATCTACCCCTGAATTTATCAGAAATTTTGCCACCATGTCATGATTATTACGACATGCGAAATGCAACGGAGTGGCCAGATTAGAATTCAATAAGTCTGGCTTAGCTCCTGTGTGCTCAATAATTACCATCAATGATTCTACATGGCCAAGTGCTGCTGCAGTGTGGAGCATTGTATGGTTACCATCTTTGTCAAAGAGGGCAGAGGTAGGCCATTCCTTGCCTCCAAGCAGCTTCTCCAGCTTAGTTGTATCATTAACATGTATGGCATCCCATATATCTTTATATCTATTGAAGAAAAGTGAGAAATTTTGAAATCTATTTCTTAACTGTAAAGGGAAAGCTTGGAACTCCTGCTAAAAAAACCTACTCTTTTTCAGATTTGATCCCAGTGGGTTTACTAAGCTCATTCAGATCCTCAACTGATTCCTCAAAGTCATCAGGATTCGATTGTTTGTTCATTAAATTTCCTAATTTCTTTTGATTTTTCTTCAAGTTCTTAGGATCTATAAGTCCAGAAAATATGAGAATCAGTAATCTCCATTCAAAATCAGTATTGAAAATATTGGCTGATTAGAAGAGTTATAGATAGGAAGAACACCAATGCTGTGAAGCAAGGAGGAAGCCTAAAGATGTCTGCATCATGAACAGGACTCAGTTATAGCTTTTGAGCAAACAAATAGTGTTGTCTAATGAAAATTTAGCTAATTTAGAATATTTACGGCTATGCTAGAGATATTACCATCAATGTCCTGCTGGGATAGTTCTTTCTCACTATCGTTGTTCCTTTTAAGGTTCATTTTCAAACCTGCTTTGTTGATAGCAGTACTTTTTTGGGTTGATCATCCGCCTCCCATCGTTGATTCTATGAAAAAGCTTAGTAACCAGAATAAAGGCAACTAGAAAGAATCGAGTGCTTCAAAAATATGCTAAAATATCCAGATAGGACATGCTTTTCCGTCTTTAGAGGGATCTAATCTCCTCACCTTGTTATGAATTATTAATATTTTATAAAAGAATTCGAATGAACGAAAAAAGGGGTTTTGGGGTTTTGGGGTTTTGGGGTTTTGGGGTTTTGGGGTTTTGGGG